TCAGGAAGATGACAACCAGCTCCCCTCAAGGTAACACAGCACAAGTTGATGGGAACAAGGGAGCTCTAGAGTCTGCCCTAATACAGACGACTAGCTACGAGGGACGAATACAACGCTCAGAGCTTGAACTAAGTTATCACGTATAACTGGTGGCAACGGAATTTCTCTCAGATAGTCTTCTAGGATGATTTTATGATTTCTTCTTCCCAATGTGATGTTTGCTTAATATGTAGTAGAGTGTATCTTTTTAAAACATGAAAATTCTTAAAATATATTAGCAGGTCATTATATTACTGATTCTCATTTTAGTAGAGTTTTAAAATATCCCAAAGGGAGAGAAATATTAAACAAGTCCAAGTCAATTCCTAAAACAGGCAATGGTAAAAATACTGAATGATGTTGTACCACATATAGCCTGACAAAAATGCGAAAGACTGTATGAGAAATATCCACATGTTGCTGAGGGTCATCTCCCTGGAAACGGCTTCCTTCTGGCCCTTGAGAGGTGGAAAAGCTCCTGAAAGACAAGATGGAAATAGTAATTTGTTTTACTATAGTGGTAGGTTTTCTGGGACAAAAGTAGAATGTTAGTTTAGCTAGAGTTTTGCTGTTTGCTTTTTAACTTTTTTTTTTTAATTTGAGAATATGTATGCTCCCTAGAGAAAGACACAGAGAGACAGGGAAAGTAAGACAGCATCTCCCAGTGGGGGATGGTCACACCATAGCCCTTTCTCCATTTCTTCCTCTTTTTGGGATCTTGGGCATGTGTGCATATGTACACTCACACACACACATATGCCAGAGTGTTTTTCAAGATGCAGGGGCTGGACTCAAATTGCAGTCAGCCATGTGGGATCTAGAGCATTAAACACCATACTAAAGGCTGAGCCTGGCCTGTTAAAGCATCTTCAGTGACTTCCATCGCTTCTGAAGAGATGTCCTCTGAAATACAATGTACAAACTGCCTGGCCCTTTCCTTCCTAACTTCTGGGCCTTTGCTTTTATGCTCTGCTCGAAGCTTCCTTCTGCATCTCAGTGAATGGCTGGCTCACCTGCATCCTGCTCACATTAGGACAAATGCCTATCCTTCGGCCCTAGTCACTCTCCAGGTTGTGTTCCTTCCTGGTACTTCCCCCAACTTGTAATGGTCCTGGCTACTCCGTCTCCTGGAATTGGAGCTATGTAAGAGCAAGCACTATAGCTGCTGCATGTCCCAGATCCCTAGAGATTTCTAGTGGTCAGGACACAGGGTATGTGAAATGGACACTAAATAATTCCTGAAACAGTCGCATTCACACTAATTTTTCTATTTCAGATTCTTGCCACAAAAAAGTGGTTGTGTAACACTGACATTACTTTCAAAAGGCAATATGCTTTATGAAATATACCTTAATAATAGAAAAGAGAAATGCAAATAGATGTCTGTCAATTCTTTTCTGGACAGGAAAGCTGGATCACTTCAGAACAATTATTCCCAGGTCATTTTGATAACACTCATCAGCATTTCAAATAGTCTTTGTCCTTGCTGATAATCCCTCAGGGTAAGCTGATTCATAAGGGGATTTGCCTCTCACAAGCAATACACTGAGTGCACTTGCAAGTTTCAAGGTCTAATATGCAAATAGCTTTCTCTAAAAGAGGCTTCCATTATTGTTGCTGCAATTTAGGCTAAAAATCAGAAAGCGAGAGATTTATGTTGAAAAGAGAGACTTGTTGGCCTGTTGTCTTCTTAAGCCTTCTGTTAATTGAAAATCCCTCAGTCATCCTCACAGCCTGGACAGCTTCTGGTTCATCTTTTTATTCCCCTACTGTAGGTGCTAGAAAAATAGGCTTCAACAGAGAAATGTGTGAAAACACTTTGTTGGTACCTGGTATTATACCACTAATTTCCTGTTTCCTAATATCCTTTCTTCCTTCCTCTTTCCTCTCCTGTCTTTCTCATTGCAATATCATTTTCATAGACTGTAGAGAAGATTAAAAATAGGAGGGACTAGAGGATAAAAGTCTAAGACTGTAACCATGAAAATTTAAAAATGTGAACTTTATCTCTACATGTAAAGAAAAGACTATGCATCTAAAAATGCAGCTTAAATGATCTCAGGACCAGCAAATAGCCTAATGGTTAAGGAAGTCAGATCCCACACGGCTGACCATGTGGTTACAACACTGGCCTTGCAGGCTTGATAAAACTTGCTAGGTATACATGTGTGTATGCCCAAAGTCCCAACAGGACGGAGAAGTGGGGAAGGAACAGTGAGTGATATGACTAATCTCTTTCTCTCTCTCTCTGGTGAGCACATGTACCCTCTAGCAATTAAAAACAAAAATGATCTCAAATGACTGCAATATGACATTTAAGTAACTAAGTGCAATGCCCAAACATAAATGTTGCTACTTCTCGAAACATCCCTCATAATTGTGTATGTCTGGTCATAACTGTTCACACACTGTGTTCCTGTGTACTCTCATGAATTAAACCTAATCATGTAACATTACATCTTATGACCTCTGCACTTAGACTGATGAAGTAAGAGCCTGAATAAATGTAACATAAATTTGTCCTTACAAATATTCTAAGCTAATATTCTTTTTTTTCTTGAGAGGTTTTTGCTGTAAGGCGTGTGTGCTCACCAGAAAGACAGAAAGAAACAGAGAGACAGAAAGGGAGAAATCACCCCCCAGGGGTGATGGCCATGCCTCAATCCCTTCTCCTCCATTCTCTTCTCGCGATCTTGGGCATGCACGCACATGTGCCCCGTGTGAGTTTAAGCCACCGAGTCCAGGACTTGGACCACAGTTGGCTACATGGGAGTCCAGTGACATAGCCATTATGCCAACTGCTGTTCCACTGAGCTGAAATTCTTAAATATAGAAATACTTTGGTTCCTCTATGGTATTTGAAGAATCAAAAATGGGTATGTATTTTAAAGCACGCCTTTGGAATTATTGATAATTTCAGAAATGTACAAACAGAGGATACTGTATACCTGTTTCATAAAAATGTGATAAGAGGTCCTCTTTTTCAATAAACCGTTGATAAAGCCAGTCAGTGAGGTCATCAGTCTCCAGGGGTACATCTTTAATTGGAAAGATCCTATTAAGAATTAGGTAAAAAAAGAAAAAAAAATTAATTCTGAGGACAGATTTCTAACTATTCTTGATATTTTAAGATGCTTTTCAAGGGGCCTGGTAGAGTCACATCTACAAACATGCATCCTGCTGTAACAGACTGCTTTGGTCTAGTGAGTGTGGGCAGCTCCTTAAGTCCTGACTCTGCATAGCCTCACCAGATAAATAGCAAGACCTTATTATCTATGTTTAGGTTAAATTCAGGTATTCTTTTCCACTGACTCCAAGTCTCTCTGAGACCAAGTCTTGCATATTTAACCAATTACTAACCTATGACTTATTTTATTTTATTTTTTTTAGTTTTTTTTGCTACAGGGTGCGTGCACTCACTGGGGAGAGACAGAGAAAGTGAGAAATCACCTCAGGACAGATGGCCATGCTGCAATACCTTCTGCATCATTCTCCTCTTGTGATTTTGGAGAGACACACATATGTGCCCAGTGTGACTTTCAAAGTGCCGGGTCCGGGCATTGAACTGTGGTTGACCATGTGGATGTACAGTGCCTTCACCACCATGCCACCTGCTCACTCACTAACCTAAGAATTTCTAAACCCACCTAAAACCTACAAGTCTCTACTTCTAGATGTCCTGACTTTTTGGACTAGGACAATGGAAAGACTCCTTACATTTATTCACAATATTGTGTCTCCTGCTCTCAAAACTGAATAAAAGAATTGCTGCATCTGAGCACTCCAGGCTTGGTCACTCACAATTGTGCTTGGGATAAACTGTATTAATTATTATTTTTACAGAGCTGGATTATTTCTGTTGACAATTCAGAAGTCAAATCATCCAGACCTATAACTTAGCTTTGGTAATTGCTGTGTTTTGAATGTATGCATCCTCCCCAGATTTGTGTTGAAACCTGGTGAGCCCACTGAAATGGTGTTGAGAGGGTAAAGACTTATCCAATCACGGTGTTGAAAGGCAGAGTTTTGGGGAAGTTTTGGGGAAGGGTTTAGATAACAAAAAGGCCCCCAAGATTGAGTCCTCATGGGTTTATAAGAAGAGGAAAGGAGACAGGCAGAGATGAGTTCTGCACACTTTCACCCTCTATCATGTTGTGGTACAACAGGAAGACCCTCAACATCTATTCTCGGAACCAGCAGATGGCATCATGATCACATTGCTGGACTCCCATGTAGCCGACTCCGGTTTGAATGCCGAACCCGGTGGCTTAAAACTCACTCTGGGTGCAGGTACATGTGTGCCCAAAATCCTGGGAGGAGAAGGGATTGCAGCATGGTCATCCCCTCTGGGGGGTGATTCCCACTTTTTATCTCTCTCTCTTATGAGTGCACAGACTCTATAGCAAAAATCTCTCTACTAAAAGGAAATGAAAAAACCCCCTCTACTGTCTTAAATTACCTACACTTGTAGTTTAGGTTATTTCTGTTATTGGCAACAGAAAAAGACTATATAGCAATGAAAAAGAATAAAATCATGGGATCACCTTTTACTTTTGCAAGGGTTGGTTTCTCTGGGGCATCCTGGTATCTTTAAATTGTTGCTTACACAACAGAGTTCATTTATGCATTCATTCATGCCTATTATGTGTTAGGTCCAGCCTCCCGTAGTCACTTCTAAATTACCCTGTATCTGTAAATAATTACTGATGATAATTCTATCTTCCCATATTTGTGGGTTTAAGTGGAAACAGAACAGTGTTTAGAACAGATGAAGTTTTAAAATGCAGCTCAGTCAGCTCAGTTAGGACACGCTCGGTCACTTCTTTACATGCTAGGCCTGGTAATGCATCCTCACAATGTTCTCTTGGTGGGAACTTTGGTAATTGCTGTGTTTTGAATGTATGCATCCTCCCCAGATTTGTGTTGAAACCTGGTGAGCCCACTGAAATGGTGTTGAGAGGGTAAAGACTTATCCAATCACGGTGTTGAAAGGCAGAGTTTTGGGGAAGTTTTGGGGAAGGGTTTAGATAACAAAAAGGCCCCCAAGATTGAGTCCTCATGGGTTTATAAGAAGAGGAAAGGAGACAGGCAGAGATGAGTTCTGCACACTTTCACCCTCTATCATGTTGTGGTACAACAGGAAGACCCTCAACATCTATTCTCGGAACCAGCAGATGGCATCATGATCACATTGCTGGACTCCCATGTAGCCGACTCCGGTTTGAATGCCGAACCCGGTGGCTTAAAACTCACTCTGGGTGCAGGTACATGTGTGCCCAAAATCCTGGGAGGAGAAGGGATTGCAGCATGGTCATCCCCTCTGGGGGGTGATTCCCACTTTTTATCTCTCTCTCTTATGAGTGCACAGACTCTATAGCAAAAATCTCTCTACTAAAAGGAAATGAAAAAACCCCCTCTACTGTCTTAAATTACCTACACTTGTAGTTTAGGTTATTTCTGTTATTGGCAACAGAAAAAGACTATATAGCAATGAAAAAGAATAAAATCATGGGATCACCTTTTACTTTTGCAAGGGTTGGTTTCTCTGGGGCATCCTGGTATCTTTAAATTGTTGCTTACACAACAGAGTTCATTTATGCATTCATTCATGCCTATTATGTGTTAGGTCCAGCCTCCCGTAGTCACTTCTAAATTACCCTGTATCTGTAAATAATTACTGATGATAATTCTATCTTCCCATATTTGTGGGTTTAAGTGGAAACAGAACAGTGTTTAGAACAGATGAAGTTTTAAAATGCAGCTCAGTCAGCTCAGTTAGGACACGCTCGGTCACTTCTTTACATGCTAGGCCTGGTAATGCATCCTCACAATGTTCTCTTGGTGGGAAAGTCTGAGAACAAGACTTAATTTGTTCAACTCTGTGACTTTTCACAAATTATATCAGGGATATTGGTTTACGTACAGAAACAACTTTTATGATTGGGAGTGACTGGAATACTATTCAGAAGATTCTGAGACCATGTCCTGACTCAACAAGAGATAAGACTGTGATGATTAGTGACATCCATCTTTAAAGTTTCTTTGTTTCTTGAGAGAGAAAAAAGGAGAGAGAGAGAGAAGCACCCTCAACAGGGTCTCACACTGCAGTTGCTCCCCCTCCCCCCAGCTCATTCTCCCAGCCAGCCAGCAAGCGACAACCATGGGCTTGTGCCAGCATACTGGTTGACTGGGGAACCAAACCTGAGCTCTTTTGTACAAACCCAGTTTTGCTTGAGCAGCGCATGACCACAGGGCTACCAGGGTGACTTTTTTAATTACAAGGTCTTGCTGTGTTGCCATCTTCCAGCCTCAGCCTTCCAGCTGGGACTACAGATATGTACTGCCACGTAGACAGGCTCTCACTTTGCTGCCTAGACCATCTAGAGGGTCTGGTCTTCCTGCCTCAGCTTCCCGGAGTCACTAGGATTATACAGTACCCGCCTTTAGGTTGGATCAGGAATCAAACTGGGCCTCTCATGTAGTCCCAGCCTGCAGAGCATAGTGTCCTAGCACCATACACCACCGTGTCTGGGCAAGGAACACAATTTTAAAAATCTACAAAATACTTGCAATCCACATTTCTCTCCACGTCATTTCTCCCACCCCACAGGAACTGATTTTCATATTTTAGCTGATTATATTGGTATGTGTAACCATGTTTCTTTTTCCATTTTAGGTTGTCTCTACTGACTTCCCTCCAGAAAGATAAGGATTAGTCTCTTCCTTTTTCTTGTTCTCACCACATGTGTGCATCCTATCCCTCATCCCAATGCAATTATACAATAACTCAATTAGCTATTAAGCAGTTATATTATTATAATTATGTCAATATATTCATAGGCAACCCATGCAGTAAATCATGGCTACTTTTCCTTTCTTGACTACTTTTTATTGTCGCCAGATCATGTAATTGCATTTTTGTTTGCTTAATTTTCTATGCACACTTAACTGATTCAACCACCAGCTCTTAGTCAATTGGCTAGAATTGATTTTCCAGATCCAGGCTGACTTTCTCTTTCTTAATTATTTCTTCTATGAGAGAGAGAGAGAGAGAGCGTACACCCCAACAAGGTCCTAATGCCACAATCCAATCTTAGACTTCAGCCAGCCCCAGATCATGGTCACATGTGTGCCTCGCATGTGCTGAGTGGTTCAGACTTGAACTGGGAACCTTTCCCCATGGAAATGCTCCCTTTTACTGTTGTGTCACCAACTGGTCCCTGCCACCTTTTTCTTAAAGGACCAAAAAGAAAATATTCCAGGCTATCTGGTCTCTGTGGCAATGTACTCTATTTGGCTTTCTGGTGTGAAAGCAGTCAGAGGCAATGTACAAATAATTGCACAACTGTGTTCAAGTGAAATACATTTACAAACAGGGAGTGGGTTATACTAGATCTTCTATGGTCTAGATCTTCTCCCTTGCATCACCCAATTTCACGTTCCTGAAGACATTTCACCTGGACTTTGAATCTGTTGGTTATAGTATTTTTTGGTTGTTGTTATTGCTTATAGTTTTCATTCTGTAAAGCCCTGTCGCTATTGTCTTAGTGATTCCTGCACTCCAAAAATGGATATAAGGTCATCCTTTCTCTAACTACTCATCTGCTGAAGCACATCTTTCATCAGTTTCTCAAGAAAGGGTACTTGAAATCTTGCATGTCTGCCAATGTCTTTTTTCTGTCCTCAATGTCTTTTTTCTGTCCTAAAGTTTGGCTGATAATTTAGCAACATACAGGATTCAGAGTAGAAACTATTTTCTTCCATCTCTATGTTTTTGTCCAAATTTCTTATTAACTTCTAAACCTTGTACTGAGCTTTTTCTTTCTTTTATTGTATTTTTAATTTTTTAAAGATTATTTCTTCCACAAGTGACAGAGAGAAAGAGTGAGAGAATGAGACAGAGATAGCACTCCCCCAACAGGGTCTTGACACCGCAATTGTGTAGAATTGATTTTCACCCTCAGCCTCGGTAAACCCTGGATCACAGATCGCGCATGCCTAGCACCCAAAACCTATGGGTCAGTCTCTGAGAGTGCCACATTTTACTGCCATACC